TGAAACAAATTGTACACTTGATTCAATCTATTATAGTGGCGGATAGTTTTTACAGCATTAAACTCTGGTAGCATTTTTGAGGATTTTTTTGAAAAAAATTTGGACTTCACAAATCAGTTTCCAACGATGTTTTTGATAATTTTTAATTTTTAGTTTTTTTTACTCACCCTCAGTTTCGACCGCGATACAAGGAGCATCAGATTACTGCTACATTGGGAACTCGAACCTTTTAAAGATGGTAGAAGAGAGAAAGCACAAGGACAAGCAGAATCAAGTAAAAGTTAGAACCTGGGTACGGTTACAAGACTGTCGCAAACATGGTGGTTGCATGTGCATTTGCGACAAGCCATCGGAGGACCTTGTCATCTCCTATTTCAATTATTTCCTTACTAATTCTTCCACACTTTCTCTTCATTTCTCATAAGAATCTTCGTGTTAATCTTATTACCTGAAATTGTCTTCATATCCATATTTTATCCGGATCAGCTTCATGATTTTCCATCTTTCTATATTTGTCTGTTCATCGTGTATTCGGAACAATTCTTCTGTCTGTTCACTTATAGTATGCCTGCCTATCCATCATAATATATAAAATCGTAAGGCGGAGTTCAAAAAAGCGGCAGAAGCGGGAAACTGCACTCGCAACGGAGCGCGGTTTCTCGCTTCTGCCGCTTTCTCGAACTCCGCCTCACGATTAGTTAACTATACGTTGTATGATGATTTCGCCGTATTATGGTTGCGTAGTGTGATAGTTTTGTACTGAGCTATTCAATTGCTGCAATTTCGAAATCGTTCGTATTTGTTGTTGTCGGTTTTTCTATCGTTTCGTACTGCAGTTTGCCGCAGAATTTCGATCCCTCTTATATTTTGCCAGATATGGAGTTTTATAATTTTCGTAATAACGTTCAATCTCCTTGTGCTTATCTTCGACAGATGCTGCAGCTTTAGTGATAACATGAAAATGAAAAAGCTCTATCAAATTTCAGTGCTCGCGAAACGCATGTACAACTCCTCTTTCATTTTCTGAAACGGAATACGATAAATGATTCATGCTCCTCCCGACGGACATGTCAAAAGACTTCTCAGGTCGTGATTTACCGACACTTAAGGAATAATGATTAGTTGAAGTGCCCTTATGAGTTGAAATGTGTAGTATAGCGCGTAAAATGCGTATTCGAAATCTACCTTCCTCATCTGCAAGGTATTCTTGGGCGTGGAGTTATTGAGACTGGTCTCAGAGAATCTAACAGCGCCTAAGCTGAAGCTTTCATTCTGAGAGATGTGCCATAACTCGTCAAAGATTTCATTGCTTTGACTCTGCGCTGTTTTTTGAAGTTTTGTCTTCTAGGATTTCCATCCTGCGGCAAAAGCGGGGAACTGCTTTTCCAGCGACAAAGTGGAGTGCACCCTTCAATACAAATTAGTTTACGTAGGGAAGCTGTATCGCAGCGTGGCGAATCGCAGTCCTTGAACCTCCCAGGGGCACGAGAAGAAGCCAAAAAAAGAAGCGAGGTATGTTGAATGTTCAAATGATTGAATGTTCAAATTCTGATCATTTATAGTTATGTATCTATCATTTATATGTATCTATTTGGTGGTCTTTCCAATATATATCCTTGGTGATCGTGTTTGCGTTTCGATGGTGAACGTGTTTGCATTCCGATTTGTTGATAGAGGTATTTAGTGCTAGAACTGAGATTCTGCATCTGCATATTCAACTTGCCAGAAAATTTTGTGTTTGAAGACGTTATTAGGGAGACTTCTCTCTTGCAAAAATCTGATCTGACTTGGCTTATTTTGGAGATTTGTCGGAAATCCTTGAAACTTTTGCTGTGATCTTTCAAAAGGGTATTTTGTGCTAGAGTTGTAATTCAGAATCTTCAGCTTGCCAGAAACATCTTGTGTATGAAGGATGTGACGCTATTCGGCTATCCAGGCTGCGTTTTTTGTCATGGATTTCTTTAACACTTGGCCCAGAGGGGTTATCTTGCATGCTGATCACGAGTATCACATTTTTTCGGCGCGAAAACGCCTCCCTGTGCGGACGGTAGGTATACGGTAGGGGCCAAAATCACAGATTTCGCTGAAAGATGGTCGAGGGAGGTTACTCGACCCGCTGATGCCGAAATCATATTTATTTTGTACGATAGCTTCATTTTCTAGGGCTACCGTTGGCTAAAACTTGGCCTGAGGGGGTTATCTGACATGCTAATCACGAAAATCATACTCTCTTCGCATGATATGGCCCTTTTATGGAGCTACTGTAGGTTTAGGTAGGGGTCAAATTGGCAAGTTGGCCTGAAACTTTCTGTTTGAGTGCCGTGGTGGATCGACTTGCCCTACCGTCATGCTTTTCATACAGGACCATCGCCGTGCGCGACACACTCTGCGGCGGCTTGCCTAAGCAAACACAGGCAAAGAGGATTTGCCGCGTACCGTGCGACCATATATATCTACCATATACACAAGAAATACGTCTTCGTGAGGTAAAGACGTGATTTCCGTGATCAGCATGTCGAATCACCCCCGGACAAGTTTCAGGCGCATCCACGATGTCGATCCCTCATCTTAATTCCACTGTAACTGTAAAAAATGGCGCTACCGTACGAAAACCAATTTGACATACGGCAACAGCGGAGGTCGAATAACCCTCCTTCACCGATTCTGAGCAAAATCCACGACTTTGACCCCCAACCGTATATCCACTGTAACCTTAGAAAATGACGCTACCATACGAAAGCAGTACGATATCTATGAAGCGGACTGAATAACCCCTCTCGACCAAGTTTTAGCAAAATTCGTGACGAAGAAATTGGGCCCCGGATAGCCGAATAGCGCCGAAGATGTTTTGATTCGAGAGACTTTTTCCCTTCTGCAAACTGACTTGACCTCTAGCCGAGACTTTTCTCTTTTGTAAACTGACTTGGTCTTTAGCCAGTTGTCGGAAATCCTATCAAACACTTCATCAATCAAAGAAGTCAGACATTTGTCATCTTTGTTATGTTCGTACAAATGCCCTTTTTGATGTACGTTATTTCACTGCTAAGGTATGATTTCACCTTTTTGAGTTCATGGAAGGCTGGAACACATATGGTTTGCCATCAGTGTCGTGAATTATCGACATTGTGTTCTCATATCACGGCATGAAAATGGAAATCAGCGAACGAAGATCATATTTTTGAGAACAAGTTGCCTTTTAGGCACAGGCAACAGAAGGGGAGTAGTATGCCCTCAATAGTCACATGACATAAATAAATGAATGCTGAGTTTGAGAAGCCTAGCTCTCACAAAGCTTGTGAGCAAAATGAGCAAAAGTTGTGTTCCGATTGTTGATGGCGAGGTTTTCCATTTGCAATTGAGATTATCATGTGATAAGTAGTCTAATTAGCAGCCAGATGAAATTCTTATTTGTTTCCCAAATGTTTCTTTTGATGTTTTTGCGAAATCGCCAACTTTCTGTGAGGCGCCAGTAAACTTAGTCATGAACATGAGAAACATGTAGCATTCTTTGTTGGTTTACGCAGGTTTTTCGAGGGATCAGGCCTTTTGTATCGGTGATCCATGACTTACGTATAATATCGCGAAGTTTGGTCTGTGGTTGTCCAGCTTCCTTTTGATCACTATGGCCAGACTTCGCTCAGAAGCGCCTAAAAGCACTCGAAAGCGCCCAAAAGCGCCCAAACTTCTCTAACCTCTCTTCGCTCTCTCTCATCTCTCCTCACATGAGAAAATGACGAGAGGTCAGAGAAGTTTGGGCGCTTTTGAGCGAAGTCTGGCCGGGACCTAAGAGGATTTGGAATGTTCTTTTTTCAATTGCTGAAATGTTGCGTATCAAGTCTTTTGTTAGACAAAACAACAACAAGCACTTTCTTTTGTTTGCAGGGCAGCGCCGCGCAACATCAATATTTCAGCAATATACTGTTGGCGACACGAATGTCACAGGTTAATATCTTACTCTGTCATCCGGTTTTTGTTTGCAATATTCCTCTCTCTTTAATCTTTCAATGCTAGCCCTAGGTGTATCATGTTCCAGGCATGACCCTGAACAACCGCGTCGACGATGCACTCGACTGGAACCGCCTCGCGGCAATCTAGCAGCCGGTGGTAGATTGTTTCCCGTGTTAAAGCTTCTTACGTTCACATAAAGTACAAAAGTGCATCAGCGCTGTAGTATTTCTGCTCAGGCAAAAAGCCGCTTTCAGTATTTGAGCGGACTGGAACTAAACTAGCTTTGAGCCTATTATGCTGTGAGGATATCTTGCCCTGATTAGCTTCTCTTGCCGTTCATAGTGTTGATGGATTTTTGAGGCGTTGAAGCTATCTGGATTAAAAGGCCAAACAAGCCTACTTTCTATTCGAATTTTACTTCAAGCATAGTGACAGCTTGTTACTGGCAAGGTCCCCCTTGCTTTCTGTGATGAGGGGGGTGTATAGATGCTATTAGTTAGTTTCTTTTGAAATCATGATGCTGAATTTTTGAATTTCATTGTAGTCTGCCGTCAGATCTGTACAAGTAATGATATACTTGTTTTTAGCTGTACAGTTGTTTTTGCTCATGCATACTAAGAGTGTCTCTTTCTCTTAGTTTCTCCTGGTCATTTTCTCCATATGATTAGCTTTTTCGCTGAGAATAGTCCAACATTTTTTGGTTCCTTAGGTACGAGCCATACTTGCTCCACATGATCCACTTCGGTACTGCTCAAGCCAGTGCAGTGATCAATAGCGAAGTCGATGAAGTGGATCGTGCACATTCACTTCGCTATTGTTCGCTGATATGAGCAATAGCGAAGTGGATCAAAGGGGACCCGTCACACTTCGCCGAAAAAGGCCCAAAAGCGTCCAAAAAGCCCAAAAAGCCCAAAAAGCCTGAGCAAGCCCGAAAAAACCCAAAAAGGCCCGAAAGAGCCGGAACACCCCTTGCGTTTTGACGCTAAGGCGTGCGTGTTGATTTCGCAACCGGGTCTTTTTACTTCGTTTTCTGTCGTCTGCCCATAAAAATAATGCCACAATTCTACCAAATGTTCGTTTCTGCAATCCGGCTCTTTCGGGCCCTTTCAGACTTTTTTGGGCTTTTTCGGGCTTTTTCCGGCTTTTTTGAGCGTTTGTGGGCTTTTTTTGGCGAAGACGAAAAGACGAGTCCCATTGGGTTAAGCGAATCATGGCGCGTGCCTATAGATGCAGACCCTGCTGTTGAAAAGGAGAGATGTGAGAGGCGTTTTGTGTGCTTTTCGGTTCATATTTATCCCCGCTTTCTATCCATTTTGCGAAGGCTCCATTCCTACGTGCGTTTGGCATATTGATGACAATGTGATCCACATGCTCCATGACCACGGCTCAAAATTTTCAAAATGACTATCGTGAACTACAATCGTTCAAAAGTTCTCTTACACTCTGACCCTAAAGACCCTGGTTTGACACATTGACGACAATGTGCCCACATGGTGGGTCACGGCTCAAAATTTTTAAAATGACTGCTATCTTGAACTACAGTCGTTTCGTTCTCTTACGCTCTGACCCTAGAGAATATTTTTGCGTTTGTCACCAGCTCCGTAGAAATATTGTCGGTGTACTTTAGTTGACGATCTGCATGATTTAAGCTGAATATTTTCGATTTAACCATGAAATGCATTGTCTCACGAGGCAGACAAATAAAAATGCTTGTTGTTGTCAACGTGTTAATGAATAAAAAGCATTTTCATAAAACTGACATTTTCATAGTTTTGAGTGATTCTGGGAGTTTTCAGAGCATCACTGTCCTATTCGGAAATTATCATCATCATGTATCTCTCATTAAAGGCAGCTCCTATCAAGATGATGGGTACTGCGATTTCAAAGCGCTGCAGTGGCAGGCCCTCAACTAAATTTTGCAGGGAGTGCAGACATGGAGAGTTTCGAAGAAGCTCATTTTCGTCATTTTTGCTGCTGCAAAGCCCATGTATAGGTTATGCTGCAAAGCCCATGTATAGGTTCAGCGTGCCGAGAAGGCTCCAAAAAGCTGAAAGCGAGATCTTGCCGAATTAATGCCTTTGAACTCAAAAATGTCATAAATTTGCGCTGAGGATCTACCATAGCAGTGCTAAGCATGTCTTCGATAAGACATATAGATATGGAAGTCATGAGTTTTCCGAATAACTCCGGTACGAGAGCGTAGTTTATTACAGATTTCAACATCCTGAAATTGCATTTATGTACCCCACAAACATGCGATGCACTATCATACTAGATTTACTGCAAAACTTCACGGTGTTTCCAATGAATTTGTCAAAAGGTAAACGACTTTGATTAAGTGGTCTTCATTCTTTTTTTGTTCCCCTGTGTTCCACCAGGGGACCATGAAAACAGTGAAAAACCTGATATGATCTGGCTCGCTCGCCATACCAAAGTAATAAGATAGTAGAGCCTCTAAAAAAAGGATAGGAAACGAGGGACACACTCCTAGAACGCCAAGACGTAAACCGCCCTCCTCGCCTCTCCTCCCCATCGAAAGTGTACGTGCATACGGTCCTAAACGTCTGTGGTACTCAAGAACGCTCAGACATCAGTAATTAGACAATTCCTCAAGTTTTGATTATGTCAGCTTCGAGCAAGGAAGTGCATATACAGAGCTTATCAGTTGCAGTGTCGGATGCACCGGAATCTTCACTTTCGCGCGGGACTCTGCACCTCTTCCGCGAACATGCTCCGTAATCAAATCCAATCGATCGAGGCTCCGCCTTTCCTCCGCTCGCAGAGGGAAAATGATCAGAGAGCATGTTCGCGAAAGAGGCGCAGGGTCCAGGCGAAGCGGCCTCGCGGGAGCGGAGATGCTGGTGCTCCCGACGCTGCATTTGATAAGCCCGTAATAACGCTAGCTCAAATTTTTGAAAGAAAATTATGAGGAACCCTACCAGCAAACCTTGAAGAAAAGATTTTGTGATTTTGCTATAGGAAGGCTATCAGTAGAGACACAGAGCAAGAAAAATAGGCATCTTGAATCTAGGAGATCGAGAGGAAAATGAGCAAAGGATTTTTTTAAGGGGGGGGGGGGCTGCGTGCAAAAGTTGAGGGAGTAGGAAGCTGTGGACCTGTAGCTATATCACCACTGAGGAGGTTACGGAATGGGTGCGGTGAAATTCAGCACCATCAACACCTGCAGGAAAAATATTTGGTACTTAAGTTAGGATAACCTTGGAGACATCATAGGGCTTTGGGATGCAAAGAGGGGCGAGAAGACGGCACTTTGGATAGCTTGGCTCTAGGAATAGAAATAGGGTTGGTGGCTGAGAAATTTTGAAAAATCGAGCTTAGGGTACATTATGAGGTTCTGTAAAACTTGGAGACTGGATCTCAGCCAAAAACTTTGAGTTCCTATGCACTTACATCCCCTTGGGGAGGGGAGGGGATCTGAAAAGAGACATGGCATATCTTGATACTCTGAATATTCATTCTTCTACTTTCTATACCTGGGTTCTAGAGTTTGTCATACCCTGTACCTGCACATAATGGGATTGCCAGGATACTGCCATACAACATCAGGTTTTCATTATTTTTTATCCCCAGGGAAGCACCTCTCATTTTCAAAGTCATTTATCATCTTATAAATTCATTGAAAACGTAAAACTGTGCCGAGAATATAATATGGCAATAATAGAAGTGGAATCTCAGAATATCGAAATCTTCGAAGAACTACTGTTTGCGAGCTAGGGATAATAAAAAATTCAAAATCTTCAGACTTATTTTTTGTAGGAAATATGCTCAACAGTGCCGTAGTATATCCTCAGCACAATTTTGCAATGTTTCCATTGACTTTCCAGCAAGATAGATGACTTTGAAAATGAGAGGTGATCCCTTGGGGATCCCCCAAAGGATCACATGAATTGGTGAACATCTACCCTGTAGTGGCGAACCGTGGAGAGTGGGGGGGGGGGGCGGGCTCTCCACGGTTCGCCACTACAGGGAATGTCGCGGAATGGGTCGCGGAATTTCTGGAAGTTACTTATATGGGCCACAAAAATGTGCAACTGACTTGTTTATACATGTAAATAATTGAAAGTTTTTTGAAATTCAGAATTAGCCTTGTAAAAAAATTTTTTTGGGGGTGGGGAATGCCCTCTTTTTCATTTCAGGGGTCATGGGCTCGAAAAATTTTAAGAAGCACCAAAATTTTTTTTCGGAGACGCCACGCACTTAAGTTTGAAAAAAATTTTTGCCTCGACCTCTCCCCCCTTTCCCGGTCCGAAATCGTGAGACCGCCACTGCAATACTTGTATGGCAGTAACCTCTCAGAGAATCGTTGGCGGTAGGCATTAGTTGCGGCGCAGTGGCCGCATTCTCGTGGGCTCTCCGCGAGAATATGCAAAGTTGAGGGCCGCACGTTCCTTTGTGAAAGACCGCACGGCTTATGGGTACCTTCAGCTAGGAGAAGGTACCCTAAATTTGTGTAATTAAACCATCGAAGACACTTCTGCCATATGGAGTAACTAGAGTACTCCGTACGCCCGAAACTGCGTTAAAAGTGTCCGAGCGCGCTGAAAGAAATTACTTGACGAGCGCTCGCAGAAAATTTTTAACTGCTGCTCATTGCACGATATGCGACGGTAAAGGAAGTACCGCCTGCTGAAGTTTTGGCCTATGCTCCGAAATTCTGGTGACCGCTTTCAAAAAAGCGCGAGTTTGCGATTCGCCTGCCCCGGCGATTACCTGAGCTAGCATACTTCCAGAGATTCGTCGGAGGGAGGCGGCCATGCTTTTTACAGGCAAGCGGGAACCGGAAAAATAGTTCGCTAAGTTCTTGCGGTCCGTTTGCAGATATTCGAAAGAATGTTGGCCACTTTTTATAGGAACATTCAGAGGACATTTGCGCCTTTTTAGAATTGATTGCGGCACAATGACCGCATTCTGATGGACCTCGAGAATGCGCAGAATTGTTGAGGGTTGCAAGGATTTTGGAGCTGCGCAGCTCATAGGTACATTCCGCTTAGAGAAGAAATTATTTGACGAGAGCTCGCAGAAAACAGAAAAAAGTCACTGCAAAATGATGGAACTCCCGAATCTTCTAAAAATCTCCACCTTTAGTTGGTGAGAATGTGCTTAATCTCTGCGTGAGACGTTGTTAAGCGCTTCCCATCCACTGGCAATTTCTGTGGGATCCGTCGTACTTCGCCGAAGAAAGCCCAAAAGCGCCCAAAAGAGCCCGAAAAAGCTCAAGAAAGCGCGAAAAAGCTCAAAAAGCCCGAAAAAGCCCAACAACCCAAAAGCGCCAGAAAGAGCCGGAATACCCCCAAGTTTTAGCGCTAAGATGTGTGTTGATATTGCAAACGAGTCTTTTTGATTCATTTTCTGTCCTCTGCACATCAAAATAATGTCAGAATTCCACCAAAAGTGCGTTTCTGCGTTCCGGCTTTTTCTGGCGCTTTCGGGCTTTATCGGTCTTTGTTGGGCTTTTTCAGGCCTTTTGGAGCGCTTTTGTTTTCTCGGCCAAGTATGACGGGTCCCTTTCTTCATGAAAACGAAGTTTTCGTGGAAGAGCCGTGGAGTAGAGAGAAATCGAACTGGACGTGCCGTTTTCTTCCGGAGTCCATATCCAAACTTCCCGGTCCAACCTTCTTCTACTAACATCCCGATCTTCGCATTAAATTGCCCATAGCGTTTGTAAAAGGGCTTCTTGCTGCGGACGACCTCCACGCCTTTAAAAAAAGCGCCCAGATCTGTTTCAGTTGCTGATGTTGGAGAGTAGCAGTTGATGATGCTGTCTTCTTACGAGGGCAAAGCGTAGGATAGTTAGACGAGGTGATAGTGGATGACGTTTCAACACCATTGACGTTTCGTGAGGGAACTTTCTTGTCACGAATGATGAGGGTCCCATCTTCGTTTCCTATAAAGCTATGACGTGGGATTGATCTGCTCCACAGCGTCGAAAGCGCATGGAGGTCGGCGTTAGAGGATGTTCTAGCGTTGAAGGTGCAGATAAAGACGCCTTTTCCATGGCGTGTCGCCGCGGACTCGCCACAGACGCATCGTTTTTGTACGATCCAGAAGGATCAATTGTTTTATTGTTCTTGTTACCACCCGTTGCCGTAGGCGGGTTGTGTAGAAATTTTTTTTTCTTCCCGCTGTTCAGGTAAGGGAGTTTTCGCCGACGATAGCAGACTTACCGGGTCGACTTTTGCTTTACCCAGGGCGATCGGCGATTGCGGTATTACCTACAGCCAGGCGACGGGGGATCGTGCCGGGTCTGCTTTCAATTGCATACAGGGTTCATATGAAGCTTTGTTTTGAGCTAAGACTCCCTTTCCGATAGGAATGATGATGCATGCTATTTTTAGGCAGAGAATCTTTGAAGAATGAATTACTGAGGCATTGAGATGAAGAAGACAAAAGAGGAGACCTAATATTTTGTCTCTCAGTTTCAGAGACAAAGTAATCATAGGGAGCACTGGAACAGATTTTATCTATAAAAGTTGTGAAAAAGACAACACTGGAACTCAGCAGTTTATCTATAAAAGCTATGATTGAGACAATTGTGGAGACATCATTAAAAGGAAAAAAGATTTGGGAGAGGCCAAGGCGAGAGTGTAAAAGTGAAACAGGAAGAGATGAAAAGTACGCATTGTGGGAGAAGACTCAAAGAGGTTTGGAGGAGGAAACTGAGCACCCGGCCAGACACGCCGCGGGGATGGGTCTTCAT